GCCAGTAGGCGGTGGTTAGTGTCCCAAGTAGGGGAGAATTGGAAATTCTCAGATGGAGAATCAATCATTGAGGGTTCGATTAACTGCCACGGTCAGGCAGAACCTCAACATGCGTATGCGGGAGTTTAGCGTATGTGGTAGATACGCAGGTCAGGGAATAGGCCACGGGTTTTCAGAAGGGTGGACGATCGGCATGAGGCCTAGGGTTAGGCTGGTGTTATAGTCCATAAGATGGATCAGGAGTTTGAAGCCCCAAGTGGGTGGGAATAGGCTGTATGGGAGAGAGAGCATCAGGAGGGGGGTGGCCCAGGGAGATGCTCAACAGTTTTGAGCCGTCCGGATAGACTGAAGGCCGGTGGGGCGTACCAGTCAGGCCGAAGGCTCAGAGAACGGTCCAGACAGGCTGAAGGCCCAGAGAGGCGGTCCAGACATGCTGAAGGTTCAGGGAGTCCTCTAGATAGGCTGAAGGCCTGGCAAGGCGGTCCAGCCATGCTGAAGACTCTGCATGCGTTTGTAGATCTATGATTCGGGTATTGAGTATGCTGCTATGCTATAGCAATCAGTAGATCTGGCTCCTGGTATTGAATATGCTGATGGGTATGCTGAAGACCCCGGTGAATTTCTATTTTGATCGGAATCTGTTATTTGAGGTCAGATGGAGTGCAGAGGATCTTGGTGATCTCATCAGTTCGGAGTGTCTCTGAGGTTTCATCTTCTTGGATCTGGTAATGCTCCAGTTGGGGAATGGGAGTAGATCCGAATGGATGTTCATCAACTAAAGGAAGGGTTGGGATTAGACTGTCCTGCCTTTCAGGTTCTGAGTACCTGGGGGATGGACCAGATGGGAGACTGGTAGTCTCAGCAGTAAGTAGAAGAATCTATACACCCATAATAGCGAAGGGTTACGACGAATCGGAGGAGTTTGAGTGAAATGAAATGATAGGCCCTTGGATTTTGAGTATGAGTTTGGATCCGAGTTACAAGGGAAAGGTATGATGCCGTCATTGGAAATCGAGGGTTGCTAAGTTAGAGCGTCCCTGTTCGACAGGTTATGAGAACTTGGTTAGATCTTACTCCTATATATATATATATATATATATATATATATATATATATATATATATATATATATATATATATATATATATATATATATATATATATATATATATATATATATATATATGGCAACACTTTGGGTTGGGAAGGGTAAGGCGGTCCTGCTCGATGCAGTAGGCCAAGATACCCGGTGCGGACCGACGGTGAGTCGTAGGCACGAAAGGTTCAGGAGAAAAGTAGAGTCGGGGCAGAGGGTTAGCGGATCAGGAAGGTACAGTTGGATTGAAGGCCTGGTAAGGCGGCCCAGTCAGGTCAAACGCCCAACGAGCGGTCCGGAGAGGCTGCAGGCCCTGAGAGGCGGTCCAGTCATGCCGAAGGATCGGTGTACGTTAGTTTGGTAACCTATGGAAGCATTATTTGTCGCAGCAGCAGGTAATCTGCGGTTCTGTCTCCGGTAGGAGACCTTGGAAGAATCAGGAATGGATGGTCAGACTAAGGAATCAGTGGAATGGAAGTAACATCGGTTCAGCAGATAAGGTCTGTCAGGAAGACAAACCGGTTCCGGGATTCTAGATTCCAGGGTTCAGGTGAGGTGGGATTAGTTGTTTCTTGGAATTATGAATTGAGTGTCTCCAAGGTAGTGATTTATGTTGGGTGCCCTTCAGGATGTCGGCATGCCAAGAATGGCAAGAAAAGAAGCTCAGTCAGATTCGCGACATTTTCCCACGTCTGGCAGATGCTAGGGCGTATGGTGGATAAGGAGGCGGAGGTATCCCTAGGTGATGTTCAAGTTGGAGGGCATGTGAACTAGGTAGGGAGACTGGTGGCTGCATCGGAAAGTATCCGATTAGCGTGGGAGCCGGAGTCCGAGATGCGAGAGCGTCATCTGGAATTTTGCCATAGCAGGCTTCGAGGACGAAGCCTAGTTTAAGTGGGGGAGAGTTGTGACATCCCAATTTTGTCATTGGTAGTCCCTGGGGGTGGAAGGGCAAAGCCATAAGAGCCCAAGGGCTAAGTTGTAATTTTTGGGACCAGGAGGGGTACGCTGTGCGTACATAAGGGTACGCTAAGCGTACTAAGGCGCACCCTAGTACGCTGGGCGTACTCATAAAAGATGGAAACCCTAATAATTGGACTTGGGGGCTATATAAACATCCTTATGGTTCATTCCCTCTCATTACTCTCGGCCTACATCTTTCAGAAACGTTTCAAAACCCTAGTCCTTGTGAGAGAGTGTGAGTTGGTGGGTATTTTTAGCTCTTGAAGGTGGAGTCATTGCATCAAGGAGTTGGAGAAGAAGTTTGGCTTGTAGATCTGAAGTTGTGTTGTACCCTAGAAGCTCCAGAAGGTAAAAAGCTTCAATCTTTATGCTTGTATAACATAGATCTAGCCATGGACTTGAGGATCATGGATTTGGTATTGGGCCTTGGCCCAAATTAGAGGAAAGGAAAATTGGGCTATTGTTATAAGGAATTCTTGGTCAAAAATTTATATTCCCGTTTATTGACTTCTTATTCGCTATTTTGGATAGTTCGGGATTGTCGGTGAGACGGTGGTTCGGGAATCTGCTTTCTTCGGTTTAGATCGGCATTTCGAGGTGAGTTATCCTCAATTTATCAATAGGGACTAAGGCACCAAGGCCGTCCCTTTGTCGGATTGTATACTGGTATTCGTTTGATATGCTTTTTGATCTGTTAGATCGGCGTCCTGGTAATTAGGACGATATTATTATTAGCGACCTGGTTTAGGTCGGTATCCTGGTATATAGGATGATGTTATGTTTAGTGACCTGGTTTAGGTCGGTATCCTGGTATATAGGATGATGCTATGTTTAGTGACCTGGTTTAGGTCGGTATCCTGGTTAGGATGTTGTTATGCTATATGATCTGCTAGATCGGTTTGTTTGTCTATGGGCTGTTATGTGATTATCTATTATATGTGCACATGATTGTTTGATTAGTATGGGGGTTAGGTTGAGGCGGGTCCTGCTTTGTGCTATAGGCCAACATACCTAGGGCGGACCGGATAGACTGCAGACCCGGGAGGGCACATAGTCAGGACGAAGGCCCAGCGAGCGGTCCGGATAGGCTGAAGGCCCAACGAGGGCGGTCTAGATGTGCTGAGGCTTGGAGAATGGACCAGATAGATTAAAGGCCCGGTGTGGGCGGTCCAGTCATACTGTAGACTCAGAGAGTGGACCAGGTGGACTGAAGGCCCGGTGCGGGCGGACCAGTCACTCTGTAGACTCGAGATGCATGGCTGTTCTATATTTGTTATATGATATGTTATGGTTATATGAGGTTGGTATTTTGGGGGTAACTCACTAAGCCTTCGAGCTTACATTTATCGATTATTGTTTTAGGTACTTCTGGTGATCGCGGGAAGGCAAAGGCGTGATCGTGCACCTCCTTATATTTTTATGAATTTTCTGGGGATACTCTGATGTTTAAACTATTTTGAAAACAATTTGTAATAACTTAATGGTTTTAATGTTTCGAAAAGTTTTAAATTGGATTGATTTTTATGGGTGTTACATTGTGGGCATATCGTAGAACATTTAAAACTCCAATTGGAATGTCTCCGTACCGTATTGTTTTTGGGAAGCCATGTCGATTACCCGTTGAGTTGGAGCATAGAGCGTATTGGGAAGTCAAGCAATTCAATATAAATTTAAATGAATCGGGAAAGAAGAGGAAGCTTGACATTCAAGAGCTAGAGGAGATCCGCAATGAAGCATATGAAAATGAAGTTCTTTACAAGGAAAAGACAAAAGCATACCATGACAGGATGATTTCATGCAAGGTATTTGAAAATGGTCAAAAGGTATTACTTTACCACTCTCGTTTTAAATTAATCCCTGGTAAATTAAGGTCCAGTTGGGTGGGACCATTTGTTGTCACTAATGTTTTTGAGCATGTGCAATAGAATTCACAAGTGAGAAAACCGGGAAGATCTTTAAGGTGAACGGTCATCGTTTAAAGTCTTATTATGAAGGATTTGAAGTAAAAACGAGGAAGTGGAAGAAGTTGCGGATCTAAAGTACCAAGATTGACAAATGATTGGGGTCCATGTCGAGCTACCGACTTTAAACAAGGGCAGCTACCCGAGAGGCAAGTCGGGGGTATTTTGGTCATTTTTGTAAAATTTTCGTTTGGACATTTTCTTTCAAGTTTTTGTGTTCCAGGGTTCTTAGAATAATTAGGGTGGTCTAAAAATAATTTTTATGAGGATTGGAAGTGAGCGGGTGCGAAAATAAGAATAATATCCGTGTGTCTCATAGACCATTACACGTGCCGTGTAATGCATGTCTTTGCAAAACACGACCGTGTAATGGCTATTAACTTTAGGATTGTTTGCGTTACACGACCATGTAACATTACTCTTACCATTACACGGGCCGTGTAACGAGGTCTGTGTATAAAAAAAACGAGTTTTTAACACAAAAAATCGCATCTTGTTCACTCTTCTAGTCGTTTCTTCTCTTCTCTCGCCCCCTACACCGAAAACACACATAAACACGTCAAATCTTCAATTACACCATGGATTTAAGCAAGCAAGGTATGGAATTTCATCCCTCTTCTTCTTCCTTACACTCAAGCAACTTTAAAACACCATTTTAATGGTGATTTTCGGATTTTTGGAAGAACCCTAGAAATTGGGTCCGAAAATTTTATCGTAATTTGTTCAAATTGCTTGTAGAATATGCTTGGGGAAGCATTGTGGAAGAGTTTACAAGTGATTTCAATCAACAATTTCGTGTTTCAACCTCCAAATCGGGTATTCTCTTTCCAATTCTGTGACTTTTCATTGTTAGTCAAAAAAAGATTCAATCTTTGTGCTTAAACTGTTAAATTGAGTGTTAATTGTGTGTTGGTCCTTTGAAGTGGTTGTGCATTGTGCTTAAAAGTCAAATTTTTTTGTGTCTAAATTTCGTTTCTCTCATGGCTTCATCATCTCGTGGGGGTGGTAAAAAGGGTAATTCCAAGCGTTCTAGAGTCGTTGACTCTAGTGTTAGTCAACGTGTCCCAAACCCTCAACGCCAAAATTCGGGTGAATTGGCATTCTTAGACTCTCAACAAGAAGCTAGGTATCATAATTTTCTTGGTCGTAGGCGCGCAACACAGAAATTCGCAGACATGCCCACTCTTAAATCCCTCCATATTCATGACCAAGTCCGTGTTTTGTTTAGAAATATTGGATGGGAAGGGTGTTGTCATTACATGATGTTGGTTATGTCCAAAACACTATTGAATTTCTGTAATCTGTTTCCTTCAATCATCGAACTGAGTATCTCTCCTTCCGTGCTTTTAACCGTAATTATTAGTTGCATAAAAATCAATTATGTGAACTCATTGGTGCTCCAATTGTTAACACTTACAACCCATTTCACATATTTGATTTTCCATTTCAAGAGGATGCTAAAGCTTTTTGGGGGAGAATTTCAGGATTGAATTATTTTCCAAGTGCTGCCAAAGCCTCAAGTATCATTCATCCTGTTCTTAAGGCCGCTCATCGCATCCTTGCTTCTATTGTATTTCCACAAAATGAGATAAGCAAGGCTGGCCAAAAAGAATTAGAGATTATGTGGTGTATGATCCACAACCCAAATCAACTTCCTGATTTTGGATTATGAATTATTTTCAAATTGTTGAAAATATCCCGCAGCACCAGTGGTAAATTACTTTGTGGGGGTATGATCACAATTATCCTCAAACACCCAGCTCTTGCCATTCGCTTTCCACCTGGTCTCGATGTCATTGCAGGAGAAACTCGCATCACGACAAAAATCTTGAAGAACATGCATTTGTTCCATATCGATTATGAAACAGAGGCCATTTATTGGGCTGTTGATAGCCGTGATTATCTCAACATCGATCATCAAAATTCTCAGCTTCTTTGATTGTCAAATCCCGTACACAATACTGTTTTGCGCCTTAGTTCCAATTTAGGTGTTCCAATTCCCGAGCCTGATCCTGATTCTGATGAGGATGAGCTCATTTCCAATGCAACCATACCTGATGTTGCTGCTCCAGTGCAGCAAGAGCCTATCATGCATCCCCATCATGACATGTATATGAAAGAACTTCGTAGGTTGCATGAAGACAATAGGCGTTTGCATCATGATTATTCTGAACTTTATGATAGTGTTTGTGAGATAAGTACTGAGATGGTGGAGTTTAGAGAAGTGTTTTATACCTTTAGAGATAATCAACGAGCACGCAACCAACATGTAGATTCCCTTGTGACCGACATGCATAGGGTACTCTGTTTAGGTGGTCAACCCACACAACCACCTTATTACCCTCAATATCCACACTACCCTCCACCATACAATCCATAATTTCAGCATCCATATCCTCCGCCATTCCCACCTCAAGATCCTCCTCAATAACCTGTCCCGCTCTCTTCCCAAGCTTCAGGTGAATAAAAAAATTGTTTTGATTAAATTCCAAGAAACCAAATCTTCTTAAATCAGTTGAGTTGATAAATGAGCCGTATACCTTAAGATTAAACTTTCTCGTTCTTCATTAAAATCTTAAAGTGGTCCAATCACATACATGCACACCTCCTGAAGCTATTCGTGCAAAACAGAAAATGAAAAGGTTTTCAACACCGAAGCATAACGACATGTATGAGTCAATCTTTGGGACATGTGACTGGTCTTGTGAGTAGTAAGTGCTCAATTGAACCCAAAATGCCAAATTTAAGAAATCATAAAAAGAAAATAAAATTTCAGTGTCCCGAGCCTTCCAACGCTCTAAAAAGTCTTTTCTACTCATTCCCTTTATATAACCTGCTTGGGGACATAGTTTCCAACTATACTTACGGGTCTTTGCATGTTGACTTCAGTCCCCCAAAAAATGTCTTAGAAGCCCCTCACGGTAATAGACCGTGAGATGTCCCACAATAGAAAAGTCAAGGATGAAAAATATAAAGAATAAGCCTAGCAAATAAATTGATAAATGTATTATGTGTTATCTTAGATTCTAAAAAAAATTATTAAGTTAATCTGTGACCTTTGGGATTCGAATGAGTAAACTCTGAGGGGTGTTCTACACCTAATCACCTAAGGCTAAATTGTTTGGGATTGATTGGTTGAAAGTTCGCTACATGGGTTCTATATAAAGTCATGAACTTAATAAAAGAATAAATATACATATAGATATTCAAATAAAGCTAATCTGTGACCTTTGAGGTTCGGGTAAGTAAACACGAGGGAAGTCTTTATTTCTAGCACACCAAGGTCATCTGTTCTGGATGTGTTGGTTGGAAGCCCGTTATATGGATTTCAAAGAAAGCCATGAGCTTTATTTGTAGGAAAATATAATTAGATAGTTTGTATATATTTATGTTTATAGTTTAATTGAAATATATGTTTAGGAAAAACGCTTGGCTGCCAAAAGATTCCTTCGGACTTGGACTTGAACTTATGACATTGGGATTGACTGTTAATTACTTTGACTGGTGTAAGTTGTTTGAAATTTGTAACGAATCTAGGTAAATTTTAGGGAATTTTTAGAAAAGATTTTTTTTGAAAAAGATTGTTGTTAATCAACAAATAGCTGGAGTCGGTCATTGTTTTATTTTGTAAAACAAAGATGATTGAGCATGTTTTTGTCACATATGTTTTCACGAGAGTAAGACCATAATTTGTTCCAATGAATTGACTTGATGCTATTAAAAATGAATAAGTGTTGTAATCTTTGATTCTGTTGAATTGTATTAAGGAGTGGCTAAACGTATTGTTTTTAATGAATTTGTGTTTATGGGACCAAAGTCAAGTTAGCTTAAGGCACGACAAGTATATTCTCAACTACTTGAAAAAAAGGTCAATTGGGTTGGATCATTTTTGTTTGATTCACTGCATTATACTCCGCATTTAGGATCTAGATTTTTGTCTTCTTTTCTTTTCTTTTCTCCAGTTTATATCTATCTTTTGTTCTTTCTTGAGGACAAGAAAAGATTCAAGCTTGGGGAGATTTGTTAGGTGCATAAATTGCACCTTTTCATAGGATAATTTCATGTTTATTTATAGCATAACATTGCATTTTTAGTATAATTTTCATACATTTTGCATTTAGGGACATAATCGGGGATCTATCGATATTTCACCAGTTTTTGTGGATGTTTCAGGGTGATTTGAAGATTGAAGCATGCTTAAGATGGTCAAGGGAAGCTCTCGATGAAATTTCGGAACTTTCGGAGCTAAATTGAAGAAATGAAGAAAATTGAAAATTGGCTATTTTACAGTTTGTTACACGACCCGTGCTTTGGCAAGGCATACGTTACGCGGCCGTGCTTTGGAAGCTTTTCAGCACATCAGGATCATTACACGGCCGTGTAATGATAAGGCATACGTTACACGGGCCGTATAACGTGATCTGATGGATTTTCAAATTCTTAACTTCCGATTTATCTATGGTTAATGGCACATTCAAACATAACCTCGACTTGGAACTGCAAGGGGGTGATTTTGGGAGTTTATATCATCATCTAGCATCTTGGAAACACTTTAATTTTCTTTTCGTAAGTTAATTTGAAGATCAAACTTGTTGAATTTGTAGTTTAACTTAGACATGTGTGGCTGATTTCTCTATCATTTTCGATTCCAAATTTCTAAGTGTTTGTTGTTAGATTGTAATTTGCACTTGAATTTATGTTTATTATCTAGTAATCTTTGATTTGGTCTTAATTATATGTTTTATTGGTTCTCCTTTTCACTTGATCAATAAACTAGGGTTCTTATCAATCTAGTTAATTAAATTGTAAAATTCGTATATGTTTTATGATTTGATGTTAGTAACATGCACTTAATTGGTTGTAATTAATCAAAATTAGTGTAATCAAAGATTAGATGTTCATATTCCCGAACTTATGAGGAATGTTGGATATTGTTGGTAATTGTTGCAAGATTCTAATGTCATTTAATGATTTGATGCAAGAGCTTGTTTGAATTGAATCAATTAAATGAAGTTTTATTTAAAGAACATGTTTTGAATAGAACAGTTTTGTCAACTTGGATATTAGATTTTATTAATATCTAAATTACCAACCTAGATTGAACATGGATCATAGTCATATTACATCTTATAACACAACAAATGTCTAGGAATCCAAATCGGAAATGTATTTCTTTTACTGAATTTTGTCATCAATCTTGTTTTATTATGAAGTTTAATTTGAGTTCAAACATAATCCCCCATTTTAACATTGATTGTATGATGTGTGAGAATATGGCTAAATAAGTAGTCCCGTATTCCTGTGGATCGACCCTGCTTACTCTATACTATCTTTAGTGTATGAAGTAGCAGCGATTACAATTATATTGTTATTATTTTATCCCATTATTTGTTGGTTTAACCACCAAACAAGGTGTCATCCGATTCAGGAAGCGGGGCAAGCTGGGCCCCAAGTATATTGGTCCCTTCAGGGTTTTGGCTCGGGTGGGCCAGGTTACGTATCGTTTAGATTTTCCAGCTGAGCTCAATTAGATTCATAGCACATTCCACGTCTCTTAGTTGCGGAAGTGTTTAGTGGACGATTCCATTGTGGTACCATTGGAGGATATTCAGGTGGATGAACGCCTGCATTATATTGAGAGGCCGGTGGCGATTCTGGATCGGAAGACGAAAACCTTGAGGAACAAGGTTGTCAAGCTAGTGAAGGTGTAGTCCCAACACCGCAAGGGATCGGAGTGGACTTGGGAGCCCGAGGATGAGATGAGGGAGCATTATTTGAAATTATCTGGGGCGGCGGACTTCAATAACAAATTCTGATTCAAGTGGGGGAAAATTATAACAATTGAATCCTGGTAAGTTTCTTTTTTTGCCCTTATTGTTGCTTATATTGCACTGTCTGGTCGTTTGAGTTGTACGTGGGGCGTACCACATGGTATGCTTAGCATACAAGCTGTAAAGCGAGTATGCGGGGCGTACCACATGGTACACTTAGCGTACTCATGCGAGGCAGGATCGAGACTCTGGGCACGTACTTTGGGCGTACATCCTTGTATGCGGGCGTACGTGCGAGACGTTGAATGAAACCCTAATTTAGGGTGTTGTACTCTATATAAAGGCCTTAAGTCCTTATGGCTAGCCTCCTTACCAGTCTCCATTGCCACAAAAACATAAAATCGATCCTTAAGTCTCTTGGTGGTGTTCTTGGGCTGGTAAGAAGTTCTTGGTGCTCATTTTTGGTCTTTGTGAAGGAAGTGGAGAATCTTGAAGTTGTCTTGCTTGGTGGGAAGGCCTTGGATCCAGAATCATCTTCTTTTGTGCAAGCTTTCTAAGGTATCAAGATTGAACCTTGACGTGTATATGTTTAGATCTTTTCATTTTGTGCTTTGTTATGCTTTTGGTCCCTTTTTGGGTTGATAAGAGAGTGAAATCGTTTTAAGGGCTTGTTATTCCAGATCTGAGTTTGTATTGGACTCCTTGAGCATAAAGGTGCAAGCTTTATGAGATAATTGGTCACATGCATGCATTAAGTCACTTATTAAGTCCCTTTTAAGCTTAAGAGCTTCATTTAGACATGCATGAACGTAAAGTTGGCAACTTTACGTGGTTTTCCAGCTAAAGGAGGTCAGATCAATGTTTTAGGGCTAGGTCTTAAAGGATTAAGGACTGAAATGGAGTTTTGGCTGAATGCGTGAGTACGTTGGGCGTACAAGTAGGTATGCATAGCGTACAAGCCCTTAAGGGAGTACGATGTGCGTACGTGCTGAGTACGCACCGTGTACTCAGTCAGGCGGACTTCGTATAGTTGGGCTTCGGATTTGGGCTTTTCTTTGGGCTTAGTGGCTTGTGGACTTGTTGGGCCACCTGAATATAAGAGTTTGGAGTAGAGAAAAATTAGTGGGCCTTAGGTTAAGGCTCATGTAGGGATTTGGGCCCAATTTGAAAAATTGGGCCATAATTAGGACTTGGTTGATTATTGGGCTTTTGGGCCTTTTAGGTTGAGAGTTTGGGTCTTAGTCTTAGACCAAGCTAGGTTAGGGGTAAAATGCTATGTTTACCCTAAGTATGGATTTATGGTTGTGGTTTGGAACCCAAATGTTAATTGGGTGATGTTTTAGTATTATTTAGCTATGGGATTCGCTAGACCAACAACGAGGAATTTTGTAGTGAGATTTAGCAGTCGAGGTGAGTTTCCTCACCATGTTTAGCAGGTCGAAGGCACACATGCTGACCCATGATCTATTCTGTTATATTACTTGTTGTATTTGTGACACTAGTATGAGTATGTGCTTGTGTGTTACTGGGCTGGGCCCGATAATTATCCTGCATGCTATTATCTATTATTAGATAAGAAATGTATGTGGGTGGGGCCCGTTATACGAGT